TCCAACCCAGATATCCAGGCCTTTATGAAGAAGAAAGGCTTTGGTGAGGACTTCAAGCAGCTGGAGTCCTACTACATCCAGACGTGAGGAAGGAAGGAGGCTGGGAGGGGTCTCCTGGGGGCCACCTCCTATGGGGTCCTCACTTTCCGTATCAGGGTCAGGCCCTGCTTGCCCACTTTCTGCACCCCTGAAGGGTCCCTTTGTCCTATCCTTTCGGGTTTGGAGTGGTCAGTTCCCAACCCTGGGGAAGACACTGCTCAGTTGGGAATAGACCCTCAGCCGGGCCCAACCCCTAGAGCTTTGGCACAAACAGCCTGGAGTCAATCTGAGCTGAGCAGATGCTTTCTTGACACTCCTCTCTCCTGCAGGCTGCTGAACATCGTCTCCTCTTATGGCAAGGGCTACGTGGTGTGGCAGGAGGTGTTTGATAATAAAGTAAAGGTGAGCTGGGGCAGAGAGGAGAAAGAGCCAGCAGCATTGTCTCCCTCCGGTCTCCCCAGCCCTTCCCCACCTCCGGAGGGACTGATCTCTGGGTTTGGACTAGGCTTTAATGGTCAGGCACTCTCCTATCCCCTCTAGAAAGGCTGCAGAGGTACGAGCCCTAGGTTTATGTATCAGAACCTCTGTCTGCCCTCCCTTGCTGCCAACTGATCAAGAGTTATTTCTGCTGCCAGGTCACCTGGGATTCCTGAGGCTGGCATGATGAGCTGGATTTTCCCTCCTGAGTCATAGACTAGGGTCTTCCAGGTCTGTGGGAGCAGGGCTCCCTTCATTTTTCATCAGTAAGATCCCAGCCTCCTTCACATGCAGGGGCTCTGTGGAAACCTTGTCCTATGCCCAGTAACATCTAGAGACTGTTGGGCATGGTAGCACCTGGGCCCCATCGCTTGCCTCCCAGCTCCGTGTGGACAGAGCGGCTGCAGAGGGCCTGGGGAGGGACAGCAGCAGGGAGCTCTCTCAGAGCCTGTGGACTCAGCCTGTGTATCAAGGTGTGAGCACAGCAGTTAGGAGTCAAAGAGACATACCTTTTTTTTTCTTTAAGACAGAGTCCCTCTCTGTCACCCAGGCTGGAGTGCTGTAGCATCATCATAGCACACAGCAACCTCAAACTCCTGAGCTCGGGGGATCCTCCTGCCTCAACCTCCTGAGTAGGTCCACACACCCAGCTAATTTTTCTACTTTTAGTACAGACAGGGTCTTGCTGTGTTGCTTAGGTTGGTGTCGAACTCCTGAGCTCAAGCCATCCTCCAGCCTCAGCCTTCCAGAGTGCTAGGATTACAGGTGCGAGCCACCGCACGCAGCCCATACTTTTCTGCTGGGAAACAGAGGGAGGACACACCCCTTGGCCTAGGTTGCCTGCATATGAGTGAGGCCCAGGAATCTCCTCAGCTCCATGCTATTACTGCCGTTTGACCTTTTGTGACAGGTTCGGCCAGACACAATCATACAGGTGTGGCGAGAAGAGGTGCCAGTAAGCTACATGAAGGAGCTGGAACTGATCACCGAGTCTGGCTTCCGGGCCCTGCTCTCTGCCCCCTGGTACCTGAACCGTATATCTTATGGCCCTGATTGGAAGGAGTTCTACCTAGTGGAACCCCTGGACTTTGAAGGTGAAAGCAGGGCGCTCCCCTTACTGGCCACAGGAGGCTGGGCTTGGGGCCCAGGGTGGGAGGCAGGAGGGTCTGGGCCAGACATTTCAGGGTAGGAAATGAAACAACTTATCTGAGGAGAGGGCCACGTTGGGAAGGTGGCTGAAGGGGAACCCTAGAGTTACTCCCCACCACCAGCCTGTTGTTACCTGTTTTCCCTCAGGTGCCCCTCAGCAGAAGGCTCTGGTGATTGGTGGAGAGGCCTGCATGTGGGGAGAGTATGTGGACGGCACAAACCTGGTCCCCAGGCTCTGGTAAGGGTTTTGTGGAGAAGGCAGAGGGTGGGCTTGAGGGCAGGGGTTCTCCCTGACAGGCTCAGTGCCCTCGAGCCACCTCCAGACTAGCACCCTGCTCTTGGGCCTGAGGGACAAGAGGTACTGCAGCGAACCTTCTGTTTGTCTGTGATGTTCACTTCCCTCGTGACTGCCACACGTTGCCCTCCAGTGACCCAAGAGCTGTGTGGGGTAGGGATTGTTATCTCGACCGCACAGGTGGAAACAGTGAAGCCTGGAGAACAAGGTGACATGCTCAGGATCCAGCACAGAGAGGCCATGATTCCTGCGATCGTACTCTCCTCCGCTGTTTCCTCAGCAGTCTTGCCAAGCATGGTCAGGTGTGTCAGGGCATCCGCTGCTGCTGCCACGGCCAGTTAATGATACCTTTAAGGCTTATTCGTATTGCCATGTCATTGGGAGAGGAAGAGAGTGGAATCACTGTCCACAGTTTAATGAAGGTGGAGCTGAGCCCTAGAACTCTCTGGGACCCGTCCAGCCAGGCTGTGCCTGTGAACAGGTGTTGATCACTTGCCTTGGCCCTGAGCTGGTCCAGGCGGCCTAGACAAGAGGCAGCAGTCTGTGGATGTCCAGCATGTTCGCAGGGAACACATGGCCCAACCTGGCACATGCCCCATTTCCTGCAGGCCCAGAGGAGGGGCTGTTGCTGAGCGGCTGTGGAGCGACAAGCTGATAGCTGACCTGAAATTTGCCCATAAACGTCTGTCGCGCTTCCGCTGTGAGTTGCTGAGGTGAGTAGGCCGTGGGGCCTTCCTAAGGTGTGGGTGGTGCAGATCCAGGGCTTGGGACCCCTCACTGAGAGCAAAGGAATAATAACAATAGTTAACACTTAGAGAGGCTTATAGGTGGCCCTGCATATCCCAGGCTTGTGCATCTGTGGCTTCAACCAACCGTGATAGAAAA